CCCCCCCCCTCTCTGTGTCTCTCTTTCACATGTTAAATTCAGGCTGTGACTTTCGTGACAGTGATTGAAGACAGGCCTCCCAGGCGTGGACCACCCACCGGTGCAATGACGCCACCCTAACCTCCAACAACCCCCCCCTCCTCCGCCAAAGGGATCCCCTGGGGACATGGGATATGGAGACTGAGAGCCTGCAATAAGCCAAGCAAGAGTCCGCAATTATCTTGGGTTGGGATATTTGTTTTAAATACATTTCAGTCGGCTTTCTGGACCTGAGAAAAATACACATTTAAGGGTAAACGCACGTGGACACAGACAATGGTGCGACGAGCCCCGGAGGGGGGTGTCAATAGGGGGAATAAAGGGAACATTTGTAATACTTTCAACAATAAAGGTTTTTTTAAAAATGAGCAAATGAAACATTTTACCAATGAAATAGAAAAATTTTTTTCAGAGCAAAAGAACACCTCACTAGGAAATATTTTTACTTCACAGTGTATCATCATTTGAAGATGATAAAATGTTCTCTCTTGGGTTTCTCATTTTATCTTTAATATAGCCCAGGTTTTTTCACACCCTAAATTTGGAGACCGGTGACTGAGATGATTGCAAAGGCATTAAGGCGGTCTGCGAACTTACCCTCTTGGGAAGCCCTGGAGTGGAGAAGCAAGTCCTCAGACCTCCAGCTCTCCGAGCTCCCATTCACCTCCCTTATATTATTCAGAGTCCAGTTGTGTGTTTTCTGCTGGAACTTCTGAACTGTAGCGTTGTTAATTTCTTCTCTACTACCTTTATGTTTCTCTCTTTGATAGGCTTTTAAAAACATTGAAAATATGAGACTGATAATGATTGAGAAACAAATACACAATAAAAACTAAAAAACTAAATAAAGTGCTTCTTACTGTTTCCCAAATGGATGATCTGTAACGCCAAACTGATCATAAACAGAAGCCTAGAATATTTAAAGTTTTGAAGTTTAAAATATAAAAAAGCATAAGCAGAAATTTACATATGTTAAAATGTAATACAATCAGATATAAGTATAAAGGCACATACAGTATTTAATGGCTAATAAACATTATGCAGTCATTTTGTAACTTGTAGATTTTGATTAATGTTGTTATCTCTTAGAAAGGTTTTGAGACCTAGAAAGTATACAGTATCTTAAGGAAAAGGAACAATCATGCATACATTGCAATTATTCTGGAAGCTTTTAACAGCCCCCCTTGACTCCTAGATGATCTCTGTCCTTACCTAATAGGGTGGCTCTGGGTCATTTTCTCACTGACAGGGCTGGTATGAGAGTCTCCTCTCATCAATATATTGAAGATCAGTTTCCAAGGAAGTTGAGTCTGACGGTGTTTGAATTTGAAGGTGTCTTTACTCCAGGTCCTAGAGTAACTGCGTCAGGATACAAGATGGATAAGTACAGAGACTCAGATATTTCCTACCCTCTGCCTACACCACAGGAAACAACAATGAGATCTCTGAGTTACGATGTGGAAGCTGCTAAGCAATTGCCTGTTGTGACAGGCAGGGCCCAGGCAGAGCCTCAAGGACTGTCCCCTCAATGAGGCTCAGCTGGGGAAAGGGGGGTGGAGAGGTGACTGATTCTCTCCCCAGCAGCTTACAGTGCTGACAGGAGCAAGAGTGGTCAACCCCTGGTGTAAAACATGGATGACGGAGGCAATAAGTCTTTCTCTCACTGAAAAAAGAAAAGAAAACAATTAAAAACTGAACATGAACAAATAAGTTTTCATAGGGAAAATGGAGATTTTATATTGCTAACTCTTTATACTGGGAGATGGGAGGGGATCCAGCTAGAAAAGGGAGCTGCTATGTGGAACATAACCAGAAGGCTTGGGTCCCAAAAGTCTTGAGTGGGGAACATGAATATAAAGGGAGACACTTCAATACCTGCTTTCTAAGGATGTGTCAATATTTCCACAGACTGAGACTTTTCTCTGTGCCCAGCATAGTGATAAATATGTCATATGCATTATTCATTTCATATAGCACTGCTCTACGGAAGCACTATTATCAATCCCCCACATAAAAGATGAAGCAACTAAGGCTTAGAGCTTAAGACTCTTGTGGCAGTTAGATCTTTGAAACACATGAAATACACAGATAGTATGAGAAGAAGGCTCCAGGGTGCTCAGTATCCAAAGACCTAGGAGCACAGGGGTAACTGCCACCCACCGTCATCTGATGATGATCCTACTCTGAATCCAAAAAGGGAGTGATTTAGGAGCCTCTTCTGAGACTCTGAGTCTCAATTTTTTCTAATTGCCAAAATAGTGACTCTCGGAGACCTTTTATCAGCACTAAAGAACTTTGGTGCAAATTGTTTTGTGATTTTAATATAAAAAGTGTTTTCTAAAAATAGCATGCTTCTTCCAAGGATGATATTATATTTGTTACTGATTTAAATTTTGAAATCTTCAAATGTGAGGTTTATTAAAGAAGTTTTTAAATAAATCAATAGTGAATCGGTGAGCCTAGCTGCAGTGAGGCTTCCCAACCACTAATTCTGTGAGCTGCCAGGACCAGGTTGGGACCAGCAGATCCTAATGGGCAGAACATGCAGAGGATGATACCTGGCACCTTCATGAAACATCTGTAACTGAAATCATGATAAACACACTTTTAAACTTAATGGTTACTTCCTGTTAATTTTATAATTTAGTTATACATAAAAGTAAGTATATTTTATTACCTTTAATCAATAGAAACTTCTATATGACCTAAATGGTTTATACACTAAAATGAAACCGGGTATAAGCTAAAGGATTTTATTTCTTTGAATAAGAACTATAGCGGGGTGGATGCAGGGTGGAGGGGATCAATGTGGGGGGGAAAAGGGGACATCTGTAATACTTTCAAAAATAAAAATAAATTAAATAAAAAATATTAACTGCTAAAAAAAGAAGTATAAAAACTGTTCAGTTTACAGGATGATACTAAATCCAAACCTAATACTAAATATTAATATTAATATACTATTAAATTATATAATATTAAAAATTTTAAAGTAGTATCTAAAAATCTAACTTTTCCCCACAGTTATTTTTAATTAAATTTATATTATGGACTTTTCAAATTTACACAAAAGCTAGGACAAAGGTCCCATAAACCTGGCTGGGTTCAACAATTAAAATCAACCTTTGCCAATTTTATCTCATTTATTTCCCTCCCCCTCATATTTTTTCTTGAAGTTTTTAAAGCAAATCTCACATCATGGTATTTCTTATGTCAAATAAGGATTTGAAAATATGCACTGTATAAGTGGAAACTATAGAAATAAGAAAGGAAATGTCTTTCCAGAAAGACAGGATTGAGAGGCTAGACATAGCCATGGAATGTCTCACCTCTGGCTGTCTGCTTAAGATCTAAAGTCAGCTCTAGGGAGGGAAAGGGCTAATGGCCTAAGGTGGATAAAGTTGCTATACCCTCTTTTTCAGCATCCTATCACTTGCTCTCATTTACTTAAAGGTGTTATAAGAAGAATTTTGTATTTCATTGAAGAAGAGCCCAGGTTTTCTTGGTTAACAAGTCCCAGCTGGAAGGGGTTGCTTGGGAGCATCTGGAGGCCAAGTTGTGGGAAGGCAGACTCCCAGCTCTAAAAAGAGTCCTCTTTCTTGTTGTCAATTGTAAACAGATAAGATTTGGAGCCAACTCACCCATCAGACCTCCAGTGGACCTTCTGACTCATTTGAGCTGCCATAAGGTGTGTTGGAATGGGGACACCCTGTCTCAGGATTGGAGACCACCCCACCTCTGTCTCCTTAGAATATCATTGATGAAAAGGTTCTGCAAAAAATTAGGTGTGAAGTAAATTTCTGAGAATGACTTTAAAGCAGTTTTGGTCAATGTGTGTTGCTCACTGGGTTCTCCCTTAAGCCACACCTCAGACCTTTCACTTCAGAAAGCCAGGGCAAGGCTGAGAACAGCATCAGGATTTTTTTCACCAGCCCAGGTGACTCTGGTGTGCAGCCAAAACTGTGATCCTATGTCTATGTTCTGTTTGGCTATGTGCTCCGGATGATGGGATGCTCCTTTCAAGCCTTTGCATTTTACCTTTAAGCACAGTGTCTGATGCACCACACTACCACACAATGAAGTGTTGTTTGTGTAAATAAAAGGATAAATGGATTCTCATACTTATACCTACTTTTCAGTGAAGAAAGCGAAATCTAATTAGAAACCAGCTTGTAGACATATGATGTGTGAAAGGACAAACTTTTTTCTCCTCTCAAGGTTCTTCTGGCTGGTCTAATAATAAAATAGACTTGAAAGAGACTAGCAAGAGAAAAATAACCCAATTTAATACATACATATGTATGGGAACCTTGAATACATAGGAAAGTCAGAGACCCCGCTCATGTAGGAGAGATGGAAAGGGGGATTGAGGGATATAAAACATTCTGAGCTAGATAGGAGGTAATGCACCTTGGAGACTTTGGGTCATTGCAGGATAAGAAGAGCAGGTGTTTAGTAAATAGAAGTTTGTCCTGCCCTATAGATAGGTGCAAAGAGGTTCTCTCTCATAATCGCTTATTATGGGAAAGGCTCCTAATTCAAGTTCTTCTAGGTACTTAAGAGAGGGGGACAGAAGTTTCTCTTGAGCCTACAGCTGAAGTTGCCTTTAGGTCAAAACAATCAGCATACCACAGAGGCACATTTTGGGGTGACTCATTCGGAACCCCCAAGGTTCCCTCTTTGGAAATTTTCCTGAGAATTTCACATTTCATAAGTTAGATTGGTAGATTGTTCTTTTTTGAAATTTCAAAAAAAATTTTTTAATTATAGTTGACATACAATATTATATTAGTTTCAGGCATACAACATAGTGGTTAGACAATTGTATGCTTTACAAAGTGTTCCCCCTGATATTTGCAGCATCCACCTGGCACCATATATTGGTATTACAATATTATTGACTATATTCCCTATGCCGTACTTTACACCTCCATGATTATTTTGTAATTACCAATTTGCACTCCTTAATCCCTTCCTATTTTTTTTACCTCTCCTCCCAATACCCCTCCCATTTGCAGTCATCAATATTGTATTTGTCTTTCTCTATCTGACTTATTTCACTAAGCACCATACCCTCTAGATTCATCCATGTTGTTGAGATGGCATGATTTCATTCTTTTTTTCATGGCTGAGTCATATTCCATTGTACATATGCATCACTTCTTTTTTATTTTTACACCACTTCTTCTTTATTCATTCATCAATTGATGGGTACTTAGGTTGTCTCTGTATATTGGCTATTGTAAATAATGCTGCAATGAACACAGGGATGCATATATGAATTTTCGATTTAGTGTTTTAGGTTTCTTTGGATAAATAGCCAGAAGTAATTGCTGGATCCTTCTTTGTCTCTTATTATAGTCTTTGTTTTAAGTCTATTTTGTCTGGTATAAGTATTACTACCCCAGCTTTCTTTTATTTTGTTTTCATTTACATGAAATATCTTTTTCCATTCCTTTACTTTCAGTCTGTGTGCATTTTGATCTGAAGTGAGTTTCCTGTAGACAACATATGTAAGGGTCATGTTTTCTTATCTATTCAGCTGCCCCATGTCTTTAGATTGGAGCATTTAATTCATTTGCATTTAAAGTAATTGTTGATAGATGTGTATTTATTTTCATTTTATTATATATTTTTCTTCTTCTTCATAAAGAAGACCCTTTAACATTTCCTGCAACATTGGTTTGGTGGTGATAAACTACTTTAGCTTTTTTTTATCTGGGAAGCTCTTTTATCTGGTTTTCAATTCTAAATGATAGCTTTGCTGGGTAGGGTAATCTTGGTTGTGGGTCCTTTCTTTTCATCACTTTGAATATTTTGTGACAATACCTACTGGCCTGCAAAGTTTCTGTTGAGAAATCAGCTTCCAGTCTTATGGGAGCTCTCTTGTAGGGAACTAACTGCTCTTCT